GAGAATGACACAACAAAAAGCTTTAGATCAGCATTAACATTTCCTGTTCCCCAGCTTTTATTAACAGGATGTTATACACAGTTTAATAGGACGTTACAAACACTTGCTTTGGCTTAAGCAGAGGAATGAAATCAGCCATTTCACTGACTGATAGCATGCTACAAAATGACTGAAAGAAGAATATGTCTTTTCAGACCATTCTTTTGCTATTAAGGAAACCAAACTTAATGAACGATAGGTAGTATAGGTCTTGAGGACAATAGAGTATATGAATGCTTTTGCTTAAAATGAAATAAAAAGGGCCTTTTTGTGTAATCCAGAATTAATGTGAAATTGGATCACACAAATCAAAGAACTGCAGTGCATACAGCCATAAATGCACCATCTGTGCACAGCAGACCTCAGAACGGAACTTCTGAGTCTGTGGATTATATGGAGTAATATTTTGCATTTCTTTGATTCACATCATTTGGTAGTTTTCAGAGTCCAGCATTATACTACAACAGAATCCAAACTCAGCTCACAAGATTAAGTCTACGAAAACCAGTACATACGGTTACTTCTTAACCACCCTTAGCATAAAATCTCCGTGCAATTCAAATTATGTCAGTGTCACCTCAAACAACATCAAATATGATATAGCTAAGTAAGTAAATTAACACTGTGCCTGCTGCCACTGCCTTCTCCGTAGATTCACTGCATAGAAAGCAGTAAAAACACTGTAAGGTAGATTATAAATACTGGATATGGTGTAGAAAAAAATTTAATAACGAAAAACTGTTCTGCGGGTGTGAAGTACAACCTGCTGCTGAATCGTTTATGACTTCTCTCTTCCTCTGCAGTACATCCAATATGAGAAAAACATCCTTGGAGAATGTGCAATCTGAAATCATTCCAGCTTTCTTTAAGGCAACAAATTCCAGATCAATCAAAGAGGATCTACATTCAAGTATCTATGTGTGTGAGCAGTTTAGGATCTATCAATTGTAAACAGAACAGTTGCAACATCCAGAGAACAGTCAGACTAGCAGTTCAAACAATTAATATTATTTTAATAAAGCATAATACTAGTAAAGAAAACAGGACAAAAATCTATTGAGTACTACTCAATACTAAAAAGCAAAAGGAATGAGATAGAAATGGTTTGACATTCCTGAGATTCTGAGATTCCATCAGAAGAGAGGTGGCCAGCAGGGACAGGGAGGTGATTGTCCCCCTCTACTCTGCTCTTGTGAGGCCCCAGCTGGAGTACTGTGTCCAGGTGTGGAGCCCCCAGTACTAAAAAGACAGGAAGCTGTTGGAGAGGGTCCAGAGGAGAGCCACAAAGATGATAAGGGGACTGGAGCACCTCCTCTACGAAGACGAGCCGAGGGAGCTGGGCTTGTTCAGCCTGGAGAAAAGAAGGCTGTAGGGTGACCTCATTACAGCTTTTCAGTATCTAAATGGAGCCTACAAACGGGAGGGGAGTCAACTCTTTGAAAGGGTAGATAACAGCAGGACAAGGGGAAATGGTTTTAAGTTGAGGGAGGGAAGATTTAGGTTGGATGTCAGGGGAAATTCTTTACAGAGAGAGTGGTGAGGTGCTGGAACAGGCTGCCCAGAGAGGCTGTGGATGCCCCATCCCTGGAGGTGTTCAAGGCCAGATTGGATGGGGCTCTGGGCAGCCTGGTCTAGTATTAAATGGGGAGGTTGGCGGCCCTGCATGTGGCACAGGGGGTTGGAGTTTCATGATCCTTGAGGTCCCTTCCAACCCTGGCCATTCTGTGATTCTGTGATTCTGAGAATGAACAGTGCCTTTTACTCCGTGACGAAGTTCTCTCCAGATAACCAACTGTACTGGTTTTGGCTGGAATAATTTGTTTCATAGTAGCTCATATGGTGATGTATTTTGGATTTGTGCCCAGAATAGCACTGATAACACATTGCTGTTTTAGCTGTTGCTGAGCAGCACTTGCACAACACTAAGGACTTTTCAGGTTCTCACACTGCCCAGCTAGCGAGGAGGAAGAGGAAGGACACTAGAAGCCTAGAGGGGACACAACCAAGGGAGCTGACCCAAACTGGTAAAAAAGGATATCTCATACCATATGACATCATGCTTAGCGGGGGGAAAAAAAGGTGGGGGTATGGAAGAAGTGGGAACATTCATCTTCCAAAGTAACGATTACGTGTAACTGGAGCCTTGCTCTCCTGGAAACAGCTGAACATCTGAATGCCGATGGGGAACAATAAATGAATTACTCCTTTTGCTCTTCTTGCACACACAGCTTTTGTTTACCTATTAAACTGTCCTTAACTTAACCCACAAGTTCTCTTGCTTTTACCCTTCATATTCTCTTCCCCATCCCACCAGCAGGAAATGAGTAGCTGGTGGTGCTGAGCTGCCTACCAGGGCAAACCCACAGCACTCAGCTCAGACATACAGCGCTTGGTATAAAGAACTGCAAAGCAATGATTGCCGCAACAGAAAAGGAAGCTGATCAAAAAGGTTTAAAAAAAAAAAAACACAAAACCTACATTTGACATTTCTATTCATAAAAACTATAAAGCATGGAGTTTTTGAGATACTTTTTTATTGTAAGTGGTTTACTGTTTTTTAAACTCTTGAAATTACTTTTGGTGCAATATCTCACGTGTTTGGGGCATAAATAAAATAGAGACAATATTGTTCTTACTTTCTACCTCCTGTTATTTACACTGTGCAACATAAACAGGAAAAAAAAGAAAAAAAAAACACTGCTAAACACTGCTTGCTTTTTGGCAGTTTCCCTGTTATCATTTTAATTCTGCCACATTATTCTCATGGATTTAATTTCCCCAGAGGAATGACCTATCATATTAGAGTAGCCACATTTCTTCATGGACTTAAGAATTTTAAAAAGCCTGTCATGACAGTCTCCCATATAACGTATTTTTCACTTTCTGGTTCTTTCACTTAATGTGAAAATAAATACATAACATGAAGCATTCAGAAACTAAGGCTCATAGTCTGTAAGACTTTAGGAATAAAGTTGAATATAATTTCTTGATGGCAACTGTAAGTTTCAAATTAATAACATGAGTTTTCTTAACTTGATCAATAATAAAGATCATCATATATTTATGTTCACCTCTTAACAGCCACTGAATGCAGTGAAATTGTAAGCCTTCCCGGAACTACTGCTGAGAATAGCACTGGGTCACAGCATACATAGGTTGAATGGATGGCCTATCCTTATGTTTGAAATCTAGAATAGTCTCTCTCAGAGGTGCTAATGTTTCCCTTTTACAGCCCATCCGACCAATCAGCCTTTGATGACTGGGCATCCTTTTCGACATCTCCTCCAAAGGTAACTTGAGGTATATTGAGGCTAGAAAATTATTCTGAAGACCCTTTAACCTTCAAGAGCAAGTAATACATATAAATATACTCTAAGCGTGTTTGTACATGTTAGTTAGGGAACACTAGTATTAGTAACTAAATAAAATAGAAAGTGCTCAGATAGAGCACTCTGTTCAGCAGTGTTGATAATGATCAGCAGAATGATTCTGGCTTCAGGCATGAAATCCAAATTCTTCTCCTGCTAAACATTATAGTGTCCATGTTTATCATATTTATCATACTCTGGTTAGAGTAAATGCATAGTATGTATCTGAATTATATATTTGTATCTCTACGTTTCCATCTCTGGATGCACAGAATATAAAAATATTTTCAGTTATTACTGACGAGATTAATAAGAAAGCTGTTAGTTGGTTTGTATCATGCCTTTATCATTCCATTTCCCCAGCAAAATTGCAGAATTATGGAGAAAGAAAAAAAAAAAAAAGAGGAAAAAAAAAGAAACACTTCTTAGCATGAAGTTAAGCTGCCAGGTCTAGTACTGAATTTTCACAGAGATCATGCGTATAAAGGAGGAGCACTTGGAGCCACTAAATGGATCCATCAGCTGAAATCAGAGCAAAGGGCAATAGACAGAGTAAGTGAAACAAAAAAGGTTTAGATTAATTACAATCAATTTGTCTTCAGATAAGGTTTAAAAATAGGAAATAAAATATGGTAGAATTCAAGAGGTGAGGGGAAAATGATTTTAATTATATTGGCTGTAAAAGATAATATAACTATCTAACTTGTTTCAAGCTTAGGGTATAAATATTGTTGAAAAGGTTACAGCTAGGCAGGAAGAGGAAGGCTGCCAGACGATGCTGCTCTTGCTGCCAAATACCAAGGCAGGTGGAGGCCTCTGGAGAGAGAGGATATCATTTCCATGGAAACAGATGAGCAAACTCTCTTCTTTCCCTCCCTAACATTTTTAAATTCCTATTCTACCTTGTTTAGAAGGAAATTAAATTTATTTAATTAAACAGTTTTTACTTTTCTGTTCCAGTAAAGTGCAGTTGCAGAGCTTGAGAGCCTCAGAGTGACTTTTCGCATAATCGCATTAAGAAAGAGGGAAGGAAATTCTATCTCCATCTCCTGGCAAGTTTGGGTCCCAATACATCAGTGTTAAAAGAGCCATAGTTTCAAGCCATAGTTTCAATAGTTTCATAGTTTCAAACAAGCGAAAAAAAAGCACCTTATTCTAATGACAAGAACTCAACAAGAAATTGAGGAACCATGAAAAGACTCAAATCATCACACAAAGTTCTCACCATCATCTACTAAAATGCTTTGCTGAGCCTTGTTTTAGATTACAAACATTCTGTTACCAAGTGAGCAGCCAAAAACACTCAGGTACAGCACCACCTCTATGATTCAACAAATCTCCAAGCACATGGACAAGTTCTGTCACACTGCAACAGTTATTTTCCATGAATTCTTATGAGTGAAGAACACACATTGTCTGTGACCATTTGAACACAGTAAGCGGCTCCTCAGCTGCTTCTTGTGAGGGTTGTTTCAATAAACCCCTTATGTATTTCAAAGCATACAGGATAAGATAAAGCTAAAAAAGAAAAAATTAAATTTGTAGCATAAATTCAACAGATCTTTTCAGTGTAAGTATTAAATACTTTCTTACCTGTCTGATGTTGTGTCACTTGTTATTTGATGCTTTGCTCCAGAACCATTCTTAATCGAGTCTTGCCTGGTGAGTCCTTGAGATCTGTTTTTGTCCAAAACTTGTGTGGATATGTCACCTGGGGGTCCTTGGTACTGCAAATGCTCTTGGAGCTTTGCTTTTTTCTCTTGAGGTGCCTCCTCGTTCCGCAGATCTCTAGTACCTTCTTGGTCAGGCTTCTGTGGTGCGTTTGATCCACTGTTATAGAACCAGGCTCCTGATTTTGTGAGGATTTCTTGTTGTTTTCGGCACAAGTTACATACCCACATTACCTGTTCAGACATATTTAAATGGAAAATCTGGTTAGTTTGCAAATAGTGTAGAAAAATTTTCTTCAAACTTACATCAACAGATTACTGTCATTTCCAAAGGTATAAATAATCCTTTTCTAACTTTATTATAATTACAATAGCTTATCTACAGCACAATGTCCATACAATGTTTGAAGAAATTGTTTTAAATATAAACATACAAAAAAAAAACCTTTTATACTATCTTTGCTTTGTTGTTACAGTGCAAGAGAATGCCAGAGAACGAGACATTTATCCACTGGCATTTCGATGGCAGTAAATGTGAAATTTGAAAATAAAGTCTAACGTTTGAAGATAGCAGAAAAAAAGGAAGGGATAAAAAATTCATTAAACACTTTTCTTATTTATTAAGCTACTTTCTTATTAACTCAGAGTAAAACACTTTGGAATAAATCCTCTGCTTGTTTGTAACAAGTAATTTTTTAATCCTCCAAATGTTTTGCTGCAGTCTGCTTTTTATATTTATATGAATCAGCTGATTTCAAGATTGACTTTATTTTCTAAGCTATCGTAAATTAAAACAATTTTATAAATAACACAGTATATACAGTGCTGAGTCTCTCCATAGCTAAGAATTAGCTTCCGCTGTACGCTTTAAGCTATTAAAATGATTCTAACGACCTGGTTGTGAGACAGTAATGAGATTTTTAATATTCTAAAATTCATTTGCAGTGCTCACCTTAGATACATGACAGTGCACATAACTGACAATGCCAATTACTTTTTAAGTCAATTTCACATTTAATTCTTACATTACAATAAAATATATCACGATGCAATGAATAAAATGTAATAGGCAACTTATTAATTTAATGGCATATTGAGATTGGTTATGATACTATCTTAAAGTTTTGATTATATATACGTAAAATTAATTCACCTCATTTTTAGAATCACAGAATCATTTGTGTTGGAAGGGACTTTTAAAGGTCATCTAGTCCAACATCCCTGCAGTGGACACCTACAGTGAGATCAGGTTGCTCAGAGCCTGGTCCAGCCAGATCTTGAATGTCTGATAGTGGAGGTTGCCACGACCTTGGTGTAAGACCTTGCCCTTAGTTCTGTTGAACCTCATGAGGTTCACCTAAGCCCACTGCACAAGCCTGTCCAGGTTGCTCTGGATGGCACCCTGTCCCTCAAGCACACTGACTACACCACACAGCCTGGTGTCATCTACAAGCTTGCTGAGGATGCACTCAATCCCACTGCTGATTTCACTGATAAAGATAAGAAAGAGCCTACGTCCCAGTACTGACCCCTCAGGGACACCACTCATCACTGATCTCCATCCAGACATGGAGCCATTGATCACTTTAGCACTTCGCTCCTTAATTTCCATTTTTCTTTATTCTTGACTCTTCTTTTTTGTCTTACTTTTACTACATATTCCTTCAATGTCTACACTCAGCCCTCAATGTAGTTATCATTTCTCCAGTTCTAAGCCAATACTGAACTGTTTCTTTTTCAAATGCTCACAAAAGGACTTTCAGTGGCTTAATTTAATGCTCTTCATTATTCTTTTAAATGCTAGATGGTTGAATTACATTGAAAATTTAGCTTCTGCCTCCATAATACATCTGGTTCTGCCCACCACAAAAGGGTTCAGAATCTGTAAGCTGTATCTTACTTTCATTCTCCAGTAAGTTAATTAATAGAAAATTTGGGCCATGCTGTCTTGTCAAGACTCATCAAAAATGTTTTTGGTGAGAGCTCTTACTCAAATTCACTGATTTCCTCATCCCAATCTGCTATGCTAGGAGCAGTGTACTTGCCAGTGTAATGGTGGCAATATGCCCCATCCTGGCAAGTATCTCTCTTTTATAGCTCTGATACTCCACTTTTGAGAACTCAAGTCAGCTTATTTCAATGAAGCAGAACAAGTTATCTAAGCACTGACAGGATAAAAAATCAAGGCTCCCTGAGCAGCTGGTTGTCTGAAGCGGTCTAGATTTGCCTTGAAGGTCAATACCACGCATGCTTCAGGCCTGGCCATCAGTCAAACATAATGTCAGAACAGGTCTATTTTACTTTTGTGAATTGCTAATTAGGAAGAAGACAAAATCTCCAAAGTTAATCTTCCACACTGAAGACAGAAGCATTTTTGCCCTGTTTAATAAGTTACAAGTAAAAGCCTTTAGCATTTATGCATGTTTTTCTCACTGTTGAAATAAGCTGTAAAATTTCCATCTATGTACTAGTGTAATGAAAGGACCTGATCCAAAAGTATAAAAATATATTACAACTTCAATCACTACCGGTCAAAATCCCCCCAAAATTTTATTAATTTCCTTCTATTAGTAGATATTGAAATGTTACAAAAACTAAACACCACAGTCTAAACACTTAAGCAACCACGTCCTCATTTGTCAGTCACATTTTCTCCCAGGACAACACACTCTAAGATGACCAGTATTATCATCCTGTACTCAACAAAATGATAGGTCTTTCTGAATGAAAGAGAATTTAATAGCTCTTCTTCTAAAAGAAGAATCACAAGAGTCCTTCTGATCTTCCCTAGGACACACAAAATGTAGTGACCCGCTCCAATATAAATCTCAGCTGCTACCAATCTGGGTAGCTGATGATGTATATCAGAGCAGAGCAATGCAATTGCTGGGGCCATGAGACCAGCATGAAACAAGCAAATGTTTTATGAGAAAAGTTCAAACAAGCCCAGGCTATGTAAAAGCTATTGCCTATCTTGGTTGCACATGTCATTATTGCAGGTAACTTTGCTTAAGATATCTGATACTTTAATGTTCATCTTTAAAGCCTGGAAGCTATTTTTCATTGATTGCCAGTGGCACTTTATGAAAGACACTATGTTATATGCCAGCCCTACTGAAGTCAAACTGGCTCTTGCTGTTTTCACCATTCAATATTTCTTATGGAATACTGAAGTAATTTGGTCAGACCTACAGGAAATAACAGGAGCACTTAAGCTGAAAGCACTTCATGAAACATAATGAACATTTTCAAAAATGAAACTTTACTTAAGGCATTCATATCGGGAAAAAAAAAATAAATAGAACATTGCTTTATTTGGAAAAGACCTCTAAGATCATCTAGTCCAACTGTCCATCTACCACCAGTATTGCTCACGAGACCATGTTCCTGAGTAATACATCTAGCCTTTCCTTAAACACCTCCAGGGATGGTGACTCCACCACCTCCCTGAACAGCCTGTGTCAATGCCTAACCCACTTCTTCCCAAACCAGCTGTAGGCAGAGACGTCCCCTGTCCCAGTCTACCCAACACATCTCCGCAACATTGCATTCTGCTGCTTGGCTTGCACTAATGACCTCTCTGAAGCCCTCTGGTGCAGAGTGGTGTCTCATGCTGCACAATGGGCCTGGGCTGTTTTGGGAGCCTGCTCCCACTCTGGACCTGATGAGACAACTCTCTTCTGCACATCTCTGGGATGGTGCTGCAGCTACATGCAGAGTAGGGTGTGCTGCTGGATGCACACAGGCACAAAGCTTACTCTGATCCTGCTGCTTTATGATGTTGAGCTTCCTCACTTGCTTCTCACTCTTCTACACACTGATGCACACTTCTGTGCTGTTGACCCAGGCAGATACAGTTTTAGCTTCAAATAATTACAAAGAACAAGCAAAATGGCAATCGTCAAGCTCAGAAATGTATGTACTGTCAATGCTCACTATGAAATTTCAATTCTGCACCACTGGCAACAAACTTCTCCATTCTATCCGAGAGCGTAGGAGTATTTCCGCCATGTAAGGAACATCAGTAATTTACAGGGCAGGCCTCTCAACTATGTCAGTAGGAGCAGAGAGAACAAGGTGGCACCTGCTGTGTGGGAATTCTCCTTCCGCCAGCAGGACTCACTGAGGCAGCTGCCCACAGCAGCTCCAGGCCTGCAGAGACATCCTGCCCTGAACAAGGCCCAGATGGAGTTTTGCGTGGCTGGGCCAGACGCGCAGCAAGAAAGGGAGCTCCATGAGTGGATCTTGTGCTAAAGCTCACATTTTGACAGTTCTGCAAGGGAGAACCACAAAAGCCTTACCTCTGAATCAGCAATTTAAAAAAGGTTAATCCTTTCCTCACAAACCTTGCATGCTGAAGCAGGTGCACTGCCTGCTACACCCATTTCCAGTACTCCACCACCACTCTGAAGAACTCAGAAGTCTAAATCACAAACACTTTTTGTGCACAAGCATCATCTTGTTCTGCACAAGTTGCATCTTAGAGCCTCAATCCTCAATGCCAGAACAGGTCCAATTTTAAAAGGAAAACATGGAGCAAAGTGTGCTCTTCAACAGCTCTGACAGACAGACATTAAGTAACACTTTAGAGACTGAAGTGCCTGCAATGCTGACACACATTTCAATACGAAAGGCTGACCCACCACCTAGTGCCTGCGATAAGAATTGCTGAATCTCTTTTCAAATACATTTCTCCCGGTGCAAAAATAATCACACAAAATATGTCTATCCTGACATTTTCACATTAACTCTTAATATTCTTTTTTCAGACAAATACTTCTTCTTAGATACAAAACTTTCTTTTTGAGAAGACATATTCCAAGTTTGGATTTGACAGACTTATTTCAAATCTCCCAGCTGCTTTCAGTTCACAAACATTATTCTATACAGAGAAGGAACAAATTTTGTTGTTTTTTTTTTATTCCTTGACCACTTCTCACAAGATTATTCTATAACATGCTCTAATTTCTACCAACACCATTGAAAAGCTTTCATTATATAATACTAGTGCTGTTTATTTATTCTGAAAGTACACAAAAGCAAACCCTGCAATAGACAAATAATCAGCCACTGCACATCTACGTAGCAAACATAATTAAGGCTAGAAAAATCACTCCTTTATATTGTCCTAAATAAAACCATTATATATTTGTTCATTAGTTGAAACTTTTCATAACCTATTATATAAATTCATTTAAATGGAAAATAAATTTATGAAGAAATTAAATCTGAAG